ATATATTATTTTGTTCAACAATAACATTCCCTTTATTCATCAGATAACTGATAAATGAATTTATATTCCTGATATGATAAATGATTCATAATGTTCATTTTACATTGCTTCTGTATATAAAGAGATTTTTTTCTCACCTCTCTCTCTCTCTCTCTCTCTCTCTCTCTCTCTTTGTTTTTCATGTTTATAATTTATTGTAAATGCGACAACAAAGAATGTATCGTTTCTTTCCTTCTCTCTTATTAAATTTAAAATTTTCATTTGAAAATCGAAAAACAGAAAGAGCAATTACTTTTGAATTTAAATTATCTTTTCATTTCATCAAATTTCACATTATGTTTCAAATTTTCACAAAAACAAAAAATCAATAATTTGAAATGAAATTTTAATCTTAATTTTATCATTGATAAGATAATTATTTAATGAATTTTTATATTCCATAAAAATTTTGATAAGATTATAAGATAAGATTTATTTGTTGAAATTTTTATCATTTTCATTTTTTTTTTTTTGAATTCTTTCGCTAAAATAAACAAAAACCTTCAAGAATTGTTTTGCCTTCAAATTGCCAAAAAATTTCCAACGATGGATCACCACGTACCCGACAGATAATTTCGGCATCTTTACCCTCTTCTGGATGTTGTTCTAATTTAACATCAACAAATTTTGCTGCTTCTAAAACAATAAAATTACTACAATATACACTCCATTAAATTTTATAAATGTTTATTTTCAAATTTCATTCCTTTGTACAGAAGAAATAAAATATATGCTGAAAATTTTTTCTTTCTTTTTTATTCCTAAAATTAACTTTATTCATAATTATATATAATGAATTAATTTTAATTAAAATTGATTATTATATGTACCATTGAGTAATAATACATAAATAATTGGAATTTAAACTTTAATTACAGATAAATTTTTTTTTCGTTAATTTCAAAATAAGATCGATGATGAATATGTTGTATGTATGTAATGTATCGGTTGAAAAAGAATACGAACGAATGAATGATATCTTTGTTGATTTATCCTTTGTTTGATCATTGCTAACACTGACCACACATTTGTAAGTACCGCTATCTTCAACGATCGGTTTGATGAAAAGTAATCGAGCCGATAATGGTTTCATACGACTTACTGCTATCCTTTACAAAAAGAAGATAACGTTTTAAGAAATTTTATATGATACAAATATTTGTTTAAAAAATATATTGAAATGGAAATCTATTTGTGTAAAAATGCGCCTGTACTTGTTGATTGTTTAGTACCATTTTGTTCACTTTCACATATATCATCATCATATCATATCACACTATTCTCTTATCGTATCGCCGGCATTAACACACAAAAAAAGTGTAACAACAAAAGGAAAGAAGTCATTTGTCTTATAGATTGTTCGATTCTAATTGAATTATTTAATAGGAATTAATCTTAATTGTAATAATTCTTAAAATTATACTATTTTTTAATAGTTATTTTGTCCTAAATTTCTATTTTAAACTTATTAATACTTAAAATTATAATTAAAATTTCATTTTAAAATTATCTTTTAATTAATTTAAAATAAATGAAAAAAAAATTGCTCATCAATTTTTTCACTTAATGTTAAATTATAAAATTCTATCCCTTAATTTGATAGGAAAATTGGTATTATGAGAGATGGAAAGGAAAGGGTATGAGAGAAACGGTAAGTTTCTTTTTTCCCTCTTCTTTAAATTCGCATGATTCAAATTGCTGACATCGGGTATATCTCTGTCTACAACGGCTTCATTTACATATATTGCATACCCAAACCCAAACACACACATATATATATTATATATACGACGGGTGGTTGGTTAGGATGATTGAAACTTTTTGCATGAATTTGTTGTATTAAGGCATCAAAATCGTTAATATTCAAAAATAGAGAGAGAGAGAGAGAAGGAGAGAGAGAGGGAAAAATTATTTTTATTTGTAATATTATTCATAACATTATTTTTTATCTATCAGCAAAAAATTAAAATTAAATGATATATATATATATATATATTTATCATCAAAAAACAATCAAATAGCCGATATTTCTTTTTTTTGCAACTGTTAAAAATGTAATGAAAGTTTATGAAATTTAACATAATCATTTAGATTAAAACAATAAATTAGAATTTTAGATAATTAATATTCTTAAGAGTGTGTGTGAGAGAGAGAGAGAAAGAGAAGAAATAATTGATAATAAACAAAACATGATTGATATAATTCGATCATTCAAAATTATAGGTTAAAATTATCATTACACGAACATTTCATTTTACTATTGTTTTTCTATATGATATAAAAATATAAAACTGCTCGTTTTTTGTTTTTTATTGATAATGAATGAATTAAAAAATTGATAATAATTGATATGAATATCAAAAAAAGTGATAATGAATGAATGAATAAAAAGAATTAGCAGATAATGGATTGAATTAAAGAATGAAATAGGTGAAATTTCTAATTTAAATTATCCAATTTTATTTAACAATATTTTACTGCTACAATAATTGTTCCTTTCTTTTATTATTTTATTGTTTTATTGTTTCATGTCAATATAAATAATGAATGTATAGAAAATAAATTAAGAAGAATGAAACATATCAAAATCTTATAGCTACGTTCGATAGAATTTTATTTAAATAGCTAACTTTTATTCAATAGCAGCTGAATAAATTTATAAATGAATGAATGATAAGATAATTAATATCAATTGTTTATAATTCATTAATAATATTTTATCAATTTGTCAACAATTTTTTACTGATAAATTTATCAATACATAAAGACCATTTTTTTCACTGATAAATTTGATCCAAAATTAATCGATTGATTTAATTTAATTCAGGAATAAAAATTAAAAGAAATTTAAAAGTTTACAAATTAAAAATTAAAAACTTTGTTTTGATTAAAATTGATAAAGTTGAAGGGTTAGAAATTTCAAGAAGGATTTCAAAAATGAAATAGAAGAGAAAGCGAAAAGTTGAAATGAATAAATGAAAAGAAGATATAGAAGTTTTAAATATAATTATCAGAGAAATGAAAAGAAATTAAAGGAATGAATTATTCAATTAAAAATGAGACATCCTTCAATTATAGGAATGAATTATTCAGCTAATAAATGAAGTATCCTTCAAATTAAATTTAATTCAAAAGACATACGTTAAATCAAATTTAGAAAACAATTACCCATTTAATAATTCAAATTTAGAAAACAAATACTTATTTACTAAATTCACTCATTTAATTAATTCTCAAATATTAATTTTTCCAAAAAATTCCATAATAGTTTGAAATTTAGAAAACAATTACTTAATTACTTAAATCAAATTACTTATTTACTAATTCAAATGTAGAAAACAAATACTTATTTACTAAATTCACTCATTTAATTAATTCTCAAATATTAATTTTTCCAAAAAATTCCATAACAGTATGATAAATTAGAAAACAATTACTCATTTACTAATTCAAATTTAGAAAACAATCACTTAAATCAAATTTAGTAAACAATTACTTATTTACTAAATTCACTTCTTTAATTAATTCTCAAATATTTAATTTTCCAAAAAATCCCATAATAGTTTGATAAATTAGGAAGAATAATTATTATTCGATGAAAAAAAGATATATATATCGATTTTGCAATTATAGTGAGCAGTAAAAATATTGAATGATGCATTTTATGCGAAATTTCATTCCCAAATTTAAAACCTATTTAATTTCAACATCCATTTTCACTATAACTTTCTTCATCTTCCCATAATTTTTCCAAATAATTTATTCAATAGGAAAAAAATATTCTCAAAATAATTCATTCAAAAATCATTTCAATAAATTCATCAAAATTATTTTAAAAGAAAAATTTGAAATAAAATGAAGATAGAAAATATTTGCGATAATCAATATTGCTATGATTTATTATAGCATTTATTTTTACCTTATCATTTTTTTTTTTTTGCAACTCTATTAACAACAAAATAAACCTTTCTTGTCGATCAATCGGTATTTTATGATTTTCACGATACCATTTAATATCAACGTTGTTAACATTTTGATTTTTCCGGAGACCGATTACTGAACAAATTATTGCTATATTTTCATCACTTTTCCGATTTTGTAATTGTTGCGCAGTTGGTAAAATGTGTATCTCCCATCCTAAAAATAAATGTTTTATTTATACCGTAATAAAATTAACAAAAAAGCAAACTGTAAAAAACAGCTTACTGTAAATTACAACAAAAATTTTATGATTATTGTTATCAGAATTATCATTTGCTATTAATGACATTAGTCTGTTAAAAGTTTATTTCAATACAATCTACTAATTTAAACGAATATAATTATAGCTTAAATTTTATTACAAAACAAAAAACAGTTTCATAAAAATTACTAAATTACTTCGTAATACATACATTTACTAATTATATTCGTTGGAAATTATGAAAAAATTATTTCTTATTTAAAATAATAGAAGAAATTATCAATAATTAATAACTGTTTCAATGATTATTTAAATTATTAAATTAATAATTGAAAGATGAATGAATGAATTATTAATGTTTGAAATAATAATAGTAAGAATACAATCTTGTTTGTATTATAATATTTTTATTCACTAAACATAACAGTATGTTATTGACAGCCAGCTTATTTCTACACACAAATAAAATTCGGGAAAAAAAAATTTTTGAAATTTCAAAAGTTTGAAATTATTTTGAAATAAATAAATAATAAACAACAGGATACATTATACTTTTAAATAGTATCATTTGGGATGAAAAGTAAAAACAATGGAATAAATTATTTTGTTTATAATTAATCAATACAAATTAAAATTTCTGATGAAAACTATACAAATTGTAGGTTTTTTTATAAATTAGAAAAGAAAAAGCTGTCAACAATTGGAATTAATTTTGAAATTTTATGAAAGAAAAAATTTCATTAATAGACTAATAATTTTGTGGAATTTTTATATGAAAATTACATTATGCTACTTAGAGAGAGTTTCTCTTCTTTTAGACTACTTAATTGCTAATTAATCATTTTCTCAAGCTATATAGTATTTCTCGGGAAATTAGCACTTGAAAAAAATACGAATTGTGGTGATCCATTATCAAAAATTCATTTCAAATTGTTTGAAATTATTACTATTTAAAAACAAAGAAGCAGAAATTCAATTCAAATTAATGTAGCAAATGAAATAAATTTTTGATGATTTAATTAATTTAATTAATATTTAATTAATACACATATAAATCTATCACAAATTATTTACTAAATTCTATTTCGAAGTATAAAAATTCGTTCTAATTAGTAAATACTACGAAATAACAATGGTAAAAAAAAGGTCGAAAGAAATTGATTAAATGTGAAAACTTTTCTTTTCAACCTTTCTTTTGTTTCCAAATATAAGCAACAATGAATGATGAAAATGGTAATATGAAATTTTAAAAAATTTAAAATTCATATTTATCAGTGGTAATATCATTTTCCTGATAATATTATCAATTTTTTCTTCCAATTAAATGTTTATCTTTCGAATATCATTCTTAAAATTCTATTGATTGTTTCATAAAATAAGAATGAAATAATTAATATTGACAGTGGATCTGCTAATTAGCGATAAACAACAATTCATATTGATGTTAGAAAATTTTCAACTTACTAATTATTATAAAAGATTTCCAAATTTTATAGCAAATTATTATAAATACAATAATTACTAATATTTCATTAAGCAATTAAATTATAAGAGAAATAATCGATAAATTAATATTAAGTAATAATTACTGAATGTTAGAAATGAAATTCAAATATTAGAGATAATATTCGTCACATGCAATATTTTCAAAAGGTGACAGTTGTATGAAAGATTTCATCCAACCAAACAATATACATTTGAAATATATCAATCATACTTTATTATTTGACTTTCCATTAACGATAATATTTTATCCTTTACCTCTCTCTCTCTCTCTCTCTCTCTCTGTGTGTGTGTGTTCCCATTTATTCCTAAATCTCAATGAACTTATTAATCATAGGATTAAATAGATTTATTATTGCTTTTAGAATAAAAGCTTCCACAAAGATTTCAAACGATCAATTAGCATAAAAATTAATATGCGTAAAATTGATTATATTAAATGATTTGTAACTATTTATTTATACGAAATATCAATATTTATATTTAAATTACTACACTATTAATTAATAATCATTAATTATTGATCATTAATAAATTCTTCTAATAGTAATTTTTCTTCCAAATGATTCAAATTTTTTGATTTAAAATTGTAAATTTGAAATTAGAAAATTACTTATCATTCTTTTCGTATCGTAGAAAAATGCCATCCTTTTCTCTTTTATATTTTTTTAAATTTAAATTTTTAGTAGAAAAAAAGGAAATTGAATTGAATATGAAACTATTAATAGTAATTAAATTAATAATTTAATTACAAAAATTAAACAAAATTGATTAAAAAAAAATAATGATGATAATGATAAGAATAATATACCATCATCTATTTAGCTGCTATTTGTGTTAATCAATTAACACGAACTATATACCATTATAGATTACATCAATTATAATTATTCATTCAAATGAATTTGCAAAAAAAAGAAATTAATGAACCGTTAACTATAAATAAGCAAATAAAACAATATGGAACGAAGCAGATGTGTCAAAGATCTTTGTACCCTCTCTCTCTCTCTCTCTCTCTGTCCCTCTCTCTCTTTTTCCCCTTAAATTATATGTAATAAAAAGTAATTGTACTGGCAAAATGATCAATAATTGTTAATTTTTCATTTCATATTTTTTTAAATGTAACCATAAATTCTGAAATTAAAAAGGATGAAAAAAACGAAATAGTGCTAACAATTCTTTTTCCCTTCACTTATCCAACCAAAGGTATGATATTTTTAAAGGCTGTCAATAATGTAAATATTATTATTATTATTACTTTTGATTTTCTTTTCGCCTACTCATTTATTTTCTTTTTATTAGATTATTGATTTGTTGAAGAATTTTGAAAAAGCTTATTTTGAAAAATTCAATCAATTATGTTTGTGGCATTATTATCCATTTATTTCTTTTGTTTTTATTAAATTTTAATGAGCTAATTCTTTTACAGTTCAATATTTTTCAATTTTAACAATCGTTGTTGTGAATGGTTTAATTTGATGTGGAAGGAAGGAAAAGAAAAACAATTAAAATATCACAAATTTTATTATACACACATTTTATTAAAAAGGTAGATGAAAGAAGCTGCTAATTGATTTAAATTTAAAAATTTTTTCTATTTACAGTCTATTACAGTTTAATTAATTAATTAATTAGTACCAATTCTTCTGTTTACAATCTACTTCAAACTAAATAATTGATTTAAATTTGAAAATTCTTCTGTTTACAGTCTACTTCAAACTAATTAATTGATTAAAATTTAAAATTTCTTCTATTTACAGTCTACTTCAAATTAATTAATTTATTCTATAATAAAATATTTCGCCATGAAATTTATGGATGATATTAGGTGAAAAAAAGAAGAATGACGAAATTTCATCATATATTTCTTTTTTCTTTCAACAAAATGAAAAAACAGAAGGAAAACTGAAATCTATTGTTTTTCATTAATTTTTAATAAATTAAAAATTAATTGCAATCTAAGAAAAATTCCACAAAAATATATAAATAGATGATAAAATGAAACATACCAGTGATAATTTGTAAAAAAATGATGAATTGTAGGCAAATTAAATATTCCAATTTGATGCCAAAATTTCTATATCGTCGATAAATCATTATTACTGTTATAATGATGATAATATGATGACGATGGTGATGATGACGATGATGATGATGATAGTGATAAGAAGCTTGAATTGAATTGAAACAAATTTTTGATTATCCTTCTTTTATGTTGACAATTCAGCCTGTTTCGTGATCTCACCAATCTTCCTTGTTATTCCTGTTGTTGTTGTTGTTGTTGTTGTTCTTGCTATTGCTATTGCTACTATTGCTGTTGTTGTTTTTATAAATGTGTTAATAAAGAAGTTAAGCATCCACAATCTACAACACAAACAATTTACTGTATCACATTTTCGTTTTTTGTAATTAATCGAAGCATTGAGTCGATTTTGAAATATAAAGTTAAGCCTAATAGGATTTATAATGTACATATATATATATATATATAACTTTGCAGGATATTATATATACATGATATCTCTAATATCCTTCTCCGATACCTCAAACATAAAATGGAATAGAGTAAATGATGCAAAAAATGAATAGCAAAATGAAAAGTGGCGGTGATGGCATAAAAGCGACAGCAGCACCTTTTCCCTCATCTTCTCCCTTTTTCGATCGGTATACTTCCATTCCTTCTTGATCGCTCCATCTTTGTTGGATTCTCTCAAGAAGCTTGAATGGATAGAATAGTAGGAAGAATGGGAGGCGGAGGTGGCAGAGGATAGGTTGACACCGCCCCCGTGATAGCAGTTCTCGTACATATATATCTATCTTACACACATCGACAGACACACACATACACACACACACACACACACACACACACTACTTAGTTGTAACATTCAAATGAGATGAAAATATTTGCTTCTACAGCGATCAGCTTGCTTCTCGTCATCTCCGCCTTTTCTCATCTATACCAACATTCTATCCCGCACTTTCTTGATTTCATCCATGCCCTATGTATACATATTTGGTGTTGAATTTCCTCCGGGGATACCCTCTTTTTCATCCTTTATCACTTCAATTTCGTCAAATCTTAATGGCATTTCTCCCATCTCCCTCTTTCCTCCTGGAATGCATAAATACCAATTGCACATAACAATTTAATGGAGAAAATTTTCCGGTGGAACATATTTATCCTCTCTACTTATATTTGAGAAAAGTGTTTCTGTTGAATGGCCGACTGTAATTAGGTTATAATTACAAATAACTTTTACAATTGAACTATTCTATGTTATCTCATTATTTCACCAAAAAGGATAAATATATATGACCTCTGGGTCATATAATGTAAAAAGAAAGAGAGCGATATTTGGGATAAAAAATTAATCCTTTCTTTTTTTGTTATTACCATTTTTCTCGTTTCGCTTATCAATCAATTTTCTACGCTAGATTGATATAATCCCACTTAGCGGGATTAATTAAAAGAATGGCCTAAAATTATTTGACATAGCAAAGGTCAGTGGTTAGTAAAGGTCAGTGATGTATTAATCTGTTACAAAAAAAAAAAAGAAGCTTTTATAGATTGATGAAAGAGA